GCACAAATCGACTTTTCTGAATAAAACAACCGGGCCCACGCGCAGAGTTCCAGCCAATAAGAGGCAGATAAACAGTAAATTTCGGTCACATTGAACAGTCCAAACAGTCTACATGGACAGTTGGGGCCGGTCTTTGGAAATAATTCTCTTTAATGTATGAAGGTTGTTAACTTTCCTTCAAATATTTTAACGGATTATATCTTTCATTTTAAGTCAATTTTTTTTTAAAAGATGTACAAAAAATTAGATTAATCGTGCTCTTCAAAGTGACATTCGGTTTGATATATTTTTAAAACAAAATTTGACATTTTTATTATCATGTCATACCATGTGGCATGTGGTACCACTTTCATTATATCACGTGATATGGAAATGTATTATGATGGTATAAATATATCATAGTATAAAATGATTGTACACATAATAATAATAAAAAATTATTAATATTGTAGCGTTATAACATAATCTTTGAACTTTTAGGTTCTATAAACCCAAACAATTATCAAACTTGTCACTCATGTGACAAAAAAAATTATAAACATTAAGTTAGTAATAGAAAAACATATTTTCTGGGATTTTGATAGAAACCCGTGTTTCTGTTCCTTTGCATATCATACTTATTTGTTAGTTATTATTGTGTGGGATTCGATTGGGTATTTGAGAAATAAGTTGGGGTAGTTATAGAAAATTGTGGGTTTACTATTTAAACTATGTTGATACGTGGGTATGAGAGTTAAGCAAGATTAAACATAAACTACTTTCCCTAATCCTCTCTCCCTACTTCCTCTGATGAACCCTTCCTTCCTCTCTACAGGCTACTGTCGCAGCCTTCTTCTTCCTCTCATTTCACCTCAATTCCCAATTCTCTTCTCATCCCATTTTCCTAATGGGATCAATCCCTAATTGATCCACCCTGATTCTAATCCCTAGGTAGAACCCTGAACGTGGGATTCTATCATATTGGTTAGGGGTGGAAGTTTGGGTTGTGGGTTGTGGATAATCCGCAAACCGCACCAACCCTTGCCTATTGTGGGTAACCATACCCACAAGTTGTGGGTAGAGGGTTGGGTGTGGGTAGTAAAATAACGATTTTTGTGGTTAGTGGTTATCCACTGTTCACCGCGGTTAACCCACAAAATCCACAATAACCACACTAATTATATTAATTTAGTGAGTTAACTTTATAATATAATAGTATGTGAAAATTGTGAGGATAAAAATTAAAGTAGCCACCAAATAAAAAAGACACACCTAATCAGTTTTATGTAAGAATTTTTTAGTTTATAAAACTCTATAATCGATATAGTGGAGAATAATCAATTCATTAAAAGTGAACACCTTTTATAACTTTTATCAGTATGTTTTTGCTTTTGTGTGAAAAAAATACAAGATCATATTTAATTGTCATATTTCACCCCTAGTCGGGGAAATATGAAATCACAGCTCTCTGACACAAAAGTTGAATATCAAACTCAAAAAGAAAAAATCTTCACGTTGAGTAAGATCGATGTACAAAATTGTATCTCCACGAACAACACAAGTGTATATCACTGTAGTCTAGTTACGAACAACAAATACGTTAGTGGCAACTAGAACTCTCTACTTGCAAAGATGGATTTTTGCGGATAACCACACCCAACCCGCACAAACCCACAGTGGGTAGTGGTTACCCACTCACCACTGCGGTGCGGGTGTGTGTACCCACAAAATGTGGGGCGGGTAACCACACCCACCCCAATTTCCACCCCTAATATTGGTATATGAGCTTGGTTCGCAACAGGTCCTCACGACTCGTAACCAGGGACGCAAACAAGCAAACAATGGTGTTAACCAAATAAATGACCGCTGCTGAGAAGGTTGCCGCCGCTGAGAAGGCCGCACAGGAAAAGAGTCTTGCCAGTACGGCAGCGACGAGACAAGGAGATGGCGGAGAGACGGTCGCCGCGGCCGTCATGCCTCCGAAATCTGGGGCGACCAAGGGTTCCGCGCCGCAGACGGTGATGGATCCGGAGGAGGTCACAATGGAGGATGTGATTAAGGATGAGAATCTGCAAGTGGCCGTAAAGAGGTTGGCTGCGATCCAGGTGCATAATCGGGCGGTACGAAAGGCTGAAATGGATAAGTTGTGGCAGGCGATGAACAGGATGATGAACGTCCTCGAGGAAGCGCATGGGAAGCCGCTAGACGAAGTTTGTGGGGGAACAACGGGGACGACGTGGTGGCCACCGAGACATCGGCAGCGGCATTCCTCGCGAAGTAGACAGCTGAGGCGGCGGCAGTCCCGTAGACAGCGGCTCCGACAGGGGTTGCGGGTGGTAACTCGGGGAGGACTGCCATGGAACGTGCTAACCGAACCTTGACGGTGCTAGGTTTGGAGCTCGGGCTTCTACCTACGTCCATGACCCAAGAACTGGCAGCTAGCAAAGGCAAGAACAAGATGCCACGGTACGACGACGGGGGCCCGAATCGGAGTTTTGGATTTTCGGGTCCAATGACTCGTAACGAGGTGGACGGCCACGCAGGGGAGCCCAATGGTTTGGGGTGGTTGGGCCTGGATTATGGCCAGAAAGAGGAAGAGCTGAGCTTGGCATGTGAAGACAAGTGCTTCAATTGTGATGAGCGTTCCATATTTGGACACAAGTGTGCGAAGCTGAACTTGATGATGCTGGTGGGACGATGGAAGGATGAGGCCGAGTACAAGGCCGCGGTAAATGGTAAGGGCGAAGAGGTGGTGGACTGACAACCTTGGGGACAAGGTTGTTCCGAAAGAGATGGGGATGATAGAAACCTGTGTATCTATTCTTTTGCATATCAGACTTATTTGTTAGTTATTATTGTGTGCGATTCGATTGGGAATCTGGGGAATAATTTGGGGGTTTAATAAGTTTGGGTAGCTATAGAAAATTATGAGTTTACTAATTAAACTATGTTGTTACGTGGGTATGAGAGTTAAGCAAGATTAAACCTATACAAATTATGATTGAGGCATCATCCATGATGGTTTTTTCCCCTTTCCTTTGTGTTCTTTCTTTTTCTAGCATGGAGTAGTCTCCTATTCACTTGGGTGTTGTAGAACCCTAACTTATACCATGTAACTACTTGTATGGATTGAATGATTGTGTGTGGGTGATGTTTAATTTGAGATTTGAGGTATTTTTCATGGTGATTGTGCATTGTGTGTATCTTGCAATCTATTGTGCTATTCTAACCTAACTTAGAGGAAAATCCCCTTTTCTAAAGAGACTCTAATTGAGTTGGGTTTCCTAGGTATTCCATACCTCCTAACTAGGTTAATGTAGGGCAAATCTCTAAACTCAAATCTAGCATCTAGGTTAATTGTGCATTGGCCGCTCCAAACCCCGGTTTGAGGGAGAAGTTAAGGCAACGCTCAATGGATTGGGCCAAGAGGGCTACATTTGTAGCCTATAATGCTTTCCTTGGCCTAGCAATTGAGAGGTGGTTTCCAACCACTGTTGTCTCTCTTAGCGGCTCACAATCGCGTTTTCCCATACTGATTCATTCGATCTCACGGTTTATGGTAGTTGGTTAAGAGGAAGCAACACCCGAGTGTAGCTTCTCACCTAGAGTTTTCTACTACTTTACTTTTCAAGTCTTGCTTTTCAATAGTAGATTGTAGGGGTTTTCACAAAACAACAACCCGCTAGATAATGTTTCAAATAGTCGAAGTAGGGGTACATGGGGCGGCCCGGATCGATATTTAAACATATTTCCCCTATATTTCACCCATTTAAGGTTTATACTTGGACTTTAGGTAAGATTTTATTGCACCCATTTAAGGTTGAATTAGTCATTCTCATAAAGATTATAACAATATGCTCTAGGATGTCGATCTTCACTCCAATGGACAAAATCTGGGTCCCAATGGTGGATTGAGGGCTCAAATAGACCCCAGGGGGTCTCTTCGTCACTTTCTCTCTCTGGAACTTTGTTTTTGCTGTCAAAAGTCAGATCTCCTTCCAAAATTCCAAAATTAGCTATAAAATCCGCGACTGGGCAGAATATAGGCACGAAACACGACCGTGTTTCAGCCCGTGTTCATGTTTCTTGATGCACACCGTGTAGGAGCAAAAAACGACAATGTTTTCTCTTTCTTTGGCCATGTGTCTCTTCAGTACACATTATACGGCCGGTGTAGGAGCAAAACCCCGATCGTATTTCTCCTGGCTGGCACACGGGTGTTGTCCCATAAACACAATCTTGTTCTCAGGAGCACGCCCGTGTTTCTTTCTCTAGTCCAATTTTTAGTCGCCAAATGATCTACGATTAACCCGAAACTTGTGTCTATGCCCCGCTTTACTTGCTAGGATTTGAATATGACAAATAAACACAATCTAGCATAAAATAGGTCAATGAGAACGCAAATCAAAAGCCAAATCTATTAAGAAATAAGGGCGTGCATATATAATTTATCACTTATCAATATGCCATTTTTCTATTGAATTGCCATATTTTTTCCTGGTTAAAAGCATATGCAAAATTTATCTACATTGCCACAATTATCGACTTTGTGACAATAATACTCACTTTTTGTGAAGGACAGAAACGATAAAGTATAGGTCCTTTATTTTTACGGGGTGAATTGCAAACTTGGTCAATCATATTACTCATTTATAACACTTTAGCCAACCGAATAAAAAACCATTCAACTTAGCCACCGATACTACACGTATAGGACTGGGACTGGATAAATTCGCACCATTTAACTGGACCAGACCGTATAGCCACCCCTAATAGCGAGTGATCAAATATGACATAAATGTGTAGTATCGATGGCTAAGTTGAATAGTTTTTTAATTGAATGGCTAAAATGTTATAAATAAATAATATGGGTGACCAAATTTACAATTCACCTGACTATCAATTATTAAAAAAAAAAAAAACAATTGCAACCCACCGCCACGAGATAACCCCATATATTCGTACAAAGAACGAAGATAACCCATATATATAAGTAATATATATATAACCAAAAGGATTCAACTCCCCCTAGGCCCTAACCAACAAAAGCCCTAGAAAAGCCAACCCTTCCCCGTATCTCTCGACATCTCCCCTTCTTTCTACCTTCATCGGCTCCGTTGCCCTACAACTCCCTGAGATCTGGCCTCCGCCCTTTAGCCCTCCTGTGTGTTTTCTCGCGGTTTCCTTTGCTGTTCCTTTCGGTATCCTTCGAAGGTGCGCTCTTCTCCTTGTTTGTTACTGTCTCAATTTGTTTATGTTGTTTTCGATATCTGGAAAAAGGTCAGATCTTGAGATGCTGGGTGGCTGATTTCCTCGCTGCTGCATATTCGTTTGGTTCGGTAGCAGATTGTTTCGGATTGTGGCTTTTGAATAACGGAAACCTGGGCTTTATGAGCTAATTCGATATATGCGCCCTCTCGTTCTATTGGACGTGATGGTAGATTTGTATTAGGGTTTGGTTTGACATAGAGTTTTCGACATGGAGAGAGATTTTGTCAATCGATCTTTAAATTTTGAGTTTCGGCTTGTGGCTAAATCTGCAAAGCTGTATAGTTGGAAGCACGTATGGAGAGAAATTTTGCCAATCTATCTTTAAATTTTGAGTTAGGGCTTGTAGCTGAATATGCGCATCTATGAGGTTTGGTATATGTGGAAGCACGTACCTTCAATTCCTTCGGGTAATAAATGTTCTTCGCCAATGGTGGGCATGAAATATTTTCTGGTGAATGATACCTGACCGTGTAATTTTGGTTAGTTTCCGTAGGATGTTATGAAGGCAGATGTTAATAGTAATTCTTTCGCTGTGGTATTCATAATAGTTCTTGCGTTTTTGCAGGACCCTTTCGTGCTTTCTTGGTCGAGGATACATATCTTCAAATTAAATGGCTACTTCTGTTGACATGTCTCTTGACGATATTATTAAGAAAAATAGAGGGAGAGGCAGAGGCCGAGGTAGTGCCCAACGTGGGCGAGGAACTGTTAGGTCATTTAGTGCTGGAAGAATGACAGGGAAGGTTCATAGAGGTCCACTTGGGGTGAATGCGCGGCCATCACAGTTCACAATTTCCAAGGCAAGCACAATACCAAGGATCTCATGCTTGGCACTTGATATCTCTATGAAACCGAATTTCAGAGGATCTCTAATAATGCTTAGAAACTCAATATACAGTGGATCTCTGACGTAATGCATTCACGGGGAAGCTCATTAATGGCAACCATTACTTCCGTTGCATATCATAGTTATCATTGTGGGCATTTTGAAATTTCAGCTGCTTGGGCAACGGATTGGTCATTCTGCTATGGGCCAGATCTCACTAAAATAGATACATAATATGCAATTTTGCAACTGCCTAGTATTTATGCCGGTGGTTCCACTAGGTGAAAACTTTGGGTTTTCCTCTATTGAATCAGCCATCAATTAGCCTATGCCTACAAGGTAGTGGTGGCGATTGATGTGATCCGTGTAATGGGAGATAGTAATGCATCCTCTTGTCATGTGTGGAATGCTCGATGGGGGAAGTCTCATGTCCTTTGGCAAGGGAGTTACCTTCCTGAACTTTGGAGCTGGAGCTCTCACCTAAAGCATAACAACATTGTTCACATGCAGTGGATTGATTTGCTCCTCCCTACATCTGATGTCGCAATTTCCTCAAGTCTCCCCAAATGGTTGCCTGAGCTTTTTGCCAAATTGCAGTTTCTTTTTATACTGGGATTTACTAGTCTGAGATAGATATTCTGGGAGGTGTCCTTTGTTGCTCTGCTTCAAGCTGACACTTTATTTCCTTTCTCCAGCCTGCTCGCAGAGTTAGAAATTTGCCTTGGCAGCATGATTTGCTCGAGGAAAGTATTAGAGCTGCAGGAATAACTGGCATCGAAGTGGGTACAAAGTTGTGTATCTCAAACTTGGATCATAAGGTGTCAAATGATGACATAAGGGTACAGTTCAAGATTCTTCAAGCTATCTGATTTTCACGTTAGGTGCTTTATTTAATGGGATTCTGAGTTAGTTTTTGCTGGAGGTCAGGAGCTTTTTGCTGAGATTGGAGACCTAAAGCGATATGCTGTTCATTATGACAGAACAGGCCGCCCTAGTGTAAGTTCTGAATGTTATACTTTCAGTTATTCGATTGTAGTGCTGAGAATACTGCTTCAGTTTGCTTCGTCTCCCTCTGGTTTGAAGTGCCTTTGTCATTATATGTTGATTTGTTTTTTATTTGATTAGAAGAGATGTTGGTTGCATTTGACCATCATTAGCTATCTGCATTTTAGAAATGTAGTTGTGATGCACGGTGTGTTCAACTTAAGCAATATCTGGTTGGAATACAGCAGTTAGTGAAGTATGTTTGTTACTGCATTGAGACATTGTTCTTCACACTCCGAAAATACCACGAAGTTACATTCTTGTGCTGGGAAGTTTGGAACTGGAATGTATAATAATACATATATGGATTTGATTTAGTTGTTTAATTCTCAGGGACCATAATGGTATTCCTTTCTTTTGTGTGCTCTAATCCAATGCGTAATATATGAATTTGAAGTAGTTGGTTGGGGACCACAATGGTAGCCCCTTTCTTTTGTCTACTCCTTTAAACATTGTCGGTTTGCTGCTCAACCTGTAATTACCTTCTGATGTGGCCTGTTCAGTAACTTTTATTGTATGGCAATTGAGGCATAAATTTGGCCTTTTCTTGTGGATTCATTACTTTTGATCTATTTGTTTGTGATATGTTCATCATAATTGAATCTGTAAACATGTTACAGGGTTCTGCTGAAGTAGTATACACACGGAGAAGTGATGCATTTGCTGCTCTGAAGAAGTATAACAATGTGCTATTGGATGGGAAGCCTATGAAGATTGAAATTGTTGGTGCCAACGAGGATTTGCCTATATCAGCTAGAGTAAATGTCACTGGAGTCAATGGAAGACAAAAGAGGACTGTTGTTATGACGTATGTGAATTTTTCCCCTTTCTAAACATCAATTCTGCTTGGGGCTTGGACTGTCCAAACTCCTTCTTTAGCAGACTTTCACCATCATTAGTTGGTAGAGGACCCTGGAATAGTTTGCTGGATTATCCTCTTGCCAGGATTCTTGTCTTATTGAGCACATAGAAGATGCGGTTGGTGTTTCTGGGTGTCATAGTTTGTCAAGAAATGGGCTCTTAGATGTTTTTTTCAGGATTAGATTGATTGTTGTTGAACTGTTTAAATATTGCAGGGCTGGACGGGGCCGTGGGAGAGGGGGCTTTGCTGCAGCTACACGGGGCAGGGGTTCTGGGTAATACTTTGTTTTGTGCTCTCGTGATGATTTATGAAGTTTCAACATTCAATTGTTTATCTGATTTAGTGTACCGGACTTGCTGTATCAATCCTGTGCTTGCGTGGTGCTTGCAGTCAAAGTAAACGCGGGGGACTGCAGACCGGTAGCCGTGGTGGTCGTGGTGGTGCTGGCGGTCGTGGTGGTGGTGTAAGGGGAGGTGGAAGAGGGCGAGGCCGTGGGAAGAAGGGGGCCGTGGAGAAGTCAGCTGATGATCTTGACAAGGAGCTAGAGAACTATCATGCGGAAGCCATGCAGTCATAAGGAAATTACTGTGGTTGTGGTAGAGGGAACTTGAAACTAGTAGTAGTGTTTAGCCCCGCTTTACTGTTTTGGTTGGAGTGCGCTGGTTTGATGATGTGGATGAGGAAAGTGTTTACTGTCTATATCAAGTGCTCGTACTTCTGTATGGATGATTCGCTAGTTATCTTATCTGTGGGTCAGTTAGGTGGGAAGTTGGATTGGTTTCCTGTAGGAACTTGAAGGGTTGTTGTCTGTTTGGTTTGAATTCATCGATTGATCTTGTATTCCAGCACCATTTACAGCCTCTTGGGCGCAACTTTAGTGAGATGCTAAGCTGGTGGGGTGGGAGGCCACCAAGCTAAGCAGCGCCTACACCAGCTGTGTCAACAACTTGGATACAGGAACTCTACTCGTGCAAGAGATTAGTTTGGAATGATAGGTGGATACCCGCATATCACAACAGACCCGGTGCGTTACTCGGGTCGGGTTTTGTTTCAACACATATAATCTTGCCACTATGGTGAGACTAAGTGCACTTCATACCACTATCAAATCATGATATCATCACTATCGAATAGTAACAATACGAGATGATATGATAGTAATATGATGCCATCAAATTTTTTGTCAAAAGTATGACCTCTTACCAACATTATATCACCATCATATCAATATCCATCTCACCAGTCATATCATAATCTTACCATTATGGTAAAACTAATAGCATCATAATATCACTGTCAATGGTAATATCGTAATATGATAGTGTTAAGATGACATGAATTTTTTTGTTTAAAATATATATATATATATAATGGATATAATCTTGAAGAGCACAAAAAAATTGATATTTTTACACAATTTTTTTTTCAAATTAAGTGTATATAAATGAGATATAGTCCGTTGAATTTTTTAATAAGATTTGAAAAGTGCTTTAACAACCCCTTTGACAATCTGAACCATCCCCACAAATCCAGTCAACTATAAAAAATATCCTATCAACTCTGTACTAAATATTTTATTTTCCTCATTACTCGTTTATGATATGGACCATTAGATTACTCAGTCTCAGATTACCCCCAATAAATTTGATTTTAATACAAATAGAAAAAGTTTTGTATTAGAACCTAAACCTTAAAATATGATTAAAAGATAATGAAATGTGAAAATACAATATATTTGATAATAGAAAAGGTGAAAATCAAGACGTGATGAGTAAGACTAGATCAAATTGGAATGACGAGCCATTTCAAATTGCTGGGTGAAACTTTTGTTTATAGTTGACGTTAAGGATGTTCAACTATTATGTCTGGCGCAGATTAAATCGACAAGCTGGAACCCCGTCGAATATAATATGATCGAGTTTTTAATTTTATGAATTTTACAAATACTTAAAAAAATGAAATTAAACATAAGTATGATCCAGTTCTTGATCCTAAATTTTCTTTTAATTATTCAACCAAAGTTCTCATGATTTAGTCCAGCTCGTTGCACATCTTATGAAATTGTACCCTGAATTGGAAACAAACAAAAAAATGACTGAAACAAGTCATAAATTCTGCTGAACATTAGATAATAATTTTGATCACTTTCAATAAACATTAGTGAAACCACCTTGAAATTTCTTGACATTTCCTTACCAATCGGAACTAATTAGTTACACAAAAAACTTCAAGACGCTGAGGAACACCGTCCCCACTTCGCCATCCCGTAAGAATAAGACGCAGCCCAAGCAAAGAAGAAAAGAAAGAACAAACAAAGAGTATCAGTGAAGACCAGGCAGTCGACGCTAACAAAGCAAAAGTTTCTTATGGTGTCATCTGGGCGCCGTAATTCCTACATCCCTATTTACAGTTGTCACACCAGAGTCACCCTTCTTGAACAATTTCTTTACAACTTCATCCCAGTTGGTTCTCCCTGACTTGGTCTTCCCACCCGCTTCCATGCTCTCTTCCTCTCGGGGCTGGGACTGGGACTGGGACTGCTCTTCGCCTATTCTATCCGATGCTTCTTCCCCTTCTTCTTCATCTGCTTCTTCTGCCTCGGCATCGCTCACAGCATGTGGCACATTTAAACTCACTGCTCTCTCCAGTGCATCTTTGTGTTCCTTCTCCAATGTCTGAATCCTGTCCATCTTCTGTGCTTTTGGAGCTGTTGTCATGTTCTCACCCATAGCTTCCTTCATCCTCTGCCCAAAACACCCACGAAAATGACTACACTTTTGAAAGGCAGCACCAGAACAAATATATATATAGTTTTCAACTTTACTACATATGCAAATATGACAGACAAGCAAAAATAGATTTACAGAGGTGGGTGGCTAAGCTCACGTTTATTGCCTTCTCCGCTTCTCTTTCAATCCAAACAATTGCATGGTCTGAAGTGGCATTGCATGATAACACGATATGTTCGAATCTCCCATCTACCGGAATGGCAGTTCTCACCTCTGGGGGAAACCTCCCACACCTATGAGTTATGACAAGAAAGATAAGATGCACAGATTAAGGGAAAAACACACCACTGATTCTCTACTCTGCACGGCAGCACACTAGTTTTAACTTGAAGATAACATGTCTGTGCGATGTTACTACACCCCAATCTCTAATTGGTAAACCGCAAATTCTGATTCTCTAAACCCGAATCATAAGATTAGCATAATAAAAATAATAACTGTGGATTATGATTTTTCGAAGTAGATTCTAGTATATACATATATGTGTTTAAATGGATTGCAGCTTGCAGAGGCTGCTGCAAGCTGGTCAATGTCCAACTTGGTTGTTTTTTGCAATACAGGCAATGTGAGAGCAATGGCTTGTACGACCACAGGAATCAGAAACACAGTAAAGTAGATCAAACGAACACGACGCTTACTTGGTTATGCTAACTAGCCTGTGGTTTGCAGTGAAAAGATGAATGTGACTATACAAGACTTGCCCAGACTTCAAGGCCATGGACTTTTCTTTGGTAAGCCTACTTATACGTGAATTAAATATCACAACGCATCCAAATACACAGATAGAGCAAACGGGCAATCCAAATACCTTACCTGCAAAATTTCCTCTCCACAATGTGATAAATTCTTCCAGGTGCATATAGCCTTCTAGGGTCTCCGAGCTTTCTACCTTCCGGGATGAATGTATCCCTCAAGCAAACCAAAAACAGTAGGCAGGGCAAGCTGTCGAAAGCATCAATGCCTGGGTTTAACAGATCATAGTGATAATTCACTCCACTATGTATACACAAGGGAGGAATTGAACCACAACATAGCCAAAAAGGCAAAGAATCCCAAGATAGAAAAGTACCAACCAGAAGATTGACTTGAAAATATCTTCCAAAGGAGTGGCAGTCCTCGGAAGGAAATCATCCTGCATTAATAACAACACACCACCGTGTCAACACATTGCCTCGTGCGTATGTGATCAGTGGACGAAACAACACAAACCCTTGAGAGCAATGCAGACACTTGCCAAGTTGGCATCCTAATGTAAGCACTGAACTGAATCCATCCAATTCAACTAAACCTACTTAATTCCACATTAAAACGAGCCAGTTATAGTTCTAATATTTTAAGAGCACATTGCGACTGCACAAGTGTTGATTAAGACACAGCAAAGCAAGAATGGTAAGGCGGGGGTAACCCTCACCTGCAAGACAACGGAGTGAATAACATCCGCATACTTAACGGCCAAGTTAAGCGACATACACCGAGCAGGAGCAATTGCGTAACACCTGATTTTGTCCCTCGGAATCCCACCCAATCTCTCCCTATGATTCACCACAATCACAGTCAACAAAGCCGCCACGCCGGAGCCCAGCGAATGGCCGGCGAAAACCATGGTGTATTCCTTGCCCGTCTCCTCCCACATCCTCCTCAACGTGTCTCCTTCCTGATTCAACACCCAAATGGCCGACTTGAGCAGGCCGTGGTGGACATAGCCGCCGTCGAACATCTGCCTGCCGAGCCCGTTGTCGAGTAGGACTTTGTAATCGCTCTCTTTGGCCAAGTTGAGGCCTCTCATGGCCAGAACGATCTCCTTGTGCTCGTCATCGCGGTAGATTATGTAGGGAGTGGAGCAGCCCTGTGCCTGCTCGTAGGTCACCCGCTTGACGACGCAGTCCGGTTGGAGACAGTAGCCGCCGGCGGGGGTGTAGTGAGGGTTGTGGAGATCGGTCTCGTAGACAGCGAGGATGAGGCGGCAGATGCGAGGGATGGGCTCGAATTCGTCGGGAGTGGCGTTGGTCCAGGTGGCGCTGTCATCGGAACCAATGTAAGTGCAGCGCTTCCAGACCCAGCGAGCGCAGCCCAGCACCAGCACGCACTCCAGCCCGCAGGAGAAGGACATGGCAGCTGGGATGTGGGCTGGGTCTGAAGGCAATTATGCTGCTGCTCTGCTTAATTGGACGGATTTCCGAGGGAGCTGGGAGGGATTTTCGGGATGTTGGCTCTGCCGGAATAACGAGGAGAAGCAGCAGCCGCAGCGGAATTGAGGGGATCAATGGCGGGTGTGGCGACGGCCGTGAAGAAAAGAAAGGTGAAAGCGGGATTCTTGCTTGAATTCCATGGCAAAGAGAGAGATGATGGCACATGGAAAAATAGCTGGTATGGGGTGGAGGAAGCGAGGCAGCCCAGCCCTGCCCGCCTGTAAAAGTAAAAAAGGAAAAGAAAAAAAAGGAAAATAGGAGAATAAAGAAGGAGAGGAGACTGGGACAACATGTTGTCACGCCGGGAGGCGTGTAACCGGTTGTATCGGGTTCAACGGGTATCGGTCATAAAACCGGCGTGATCGGTATGATCGATATACGAATCTCTAAATAAAATAATCTTATTTTAGAGAATTTAATTGATAAAAATTATTTTATGAGTATAAAAGTTAAATATTGATGTTATTTATTGGATTCAAGTATAAATATTTAGGTATTGACGTTAAATGTCATGTTTAAATATGAGTATTTATAATTTTATTTGTAATATTGACCGACATGAACCGACACAAACCGGTATGTGCCACCGGTTGAAACATTCCACTTGCTAAACCGTCACACTGGCATAAACCGGTTTGACAACCTTGCTGGACAACAATGGTTGTCAAACCGATTGCAACCGGAACGGTCCCATTAGTGATGCAATCGTTTTATTTATATCAATTCATATTGATTTTAGTAAAAAAAATGTGCAAAAGTAGAAAATCATCACCAGTAAGCAAATTTAGGCATATATGATATCTATAACGTATTTAAGAATATCCTTTCTAAAATATACATTTATATTTAAATAAATATAACATTCTAAACAAAATGAATATTCATCATATTTGACACACATTATGAACCAATCAACTGGCCTAGGCTCTGACAGTTGCAACTGCCACCAAAGGTGAGCGTGTTTGTATGGAGATGGGGATCGAATATTCTACCTACAGGCAGTAACCTAGCTAGACGCATTCCAAAAGCAAGTGATGAATGTCCGTTCTGTGGACCAGTGGAAATCCAAAAACATATAACATGAGATTGTGACTGGGTGGGAAGAATCTGAAGACCTAGCTAACTTAGCAAGATGTTGGAGATGGGAGAAGATTGGGATTGTGCTAATTGGATATGTGAACTACTTAAGCAGGCAAAAGATGAGGAAATCTGTGAATTTCTAATTACATTGTGGTTCATTTAGAAAGAAAGAAAGAAAGAAAGAATCAACAATTTAACAATTAGAAGCGGGAGGAATGGGAGGTTGTAGAGAGAGCTGAGCATTACCTGGATGAATATCGAAGAGCCCAAGACCGGGATGTGACGCCATCGCAGACAAGTCGAAGATACAGGTGGAGAAATCGGCGATGGGCTACAAAGCGAATGTAGATGCCAGTGTGCTGAAGGATGGGGGAACGGGAGCCGGAATGGTGGTTCGTGATAGGTAGAGGAGATTTGTGATGGCGGCGGTAAGAAGAAGTCGGGTCAGTTGGCAACCCGAAATGGCTTAAGCGGAGGCGTTTCTCTGGGGATTAAAGATTATGCGGTAGCATCAACTATACCCAATAATGATGGAAACTTATCAGAGGAGAAGAATTCAGCACATTCGAATTCTTCTCAGTCCCGCCTTCCAGACGACGACGTTCCGCCAACGGTCGAAACCAAGCAACCCGACTACGGCGTTTCGCTGAGTCAACCAAGACCCCGCAGGACCTGGAGCGACATCGTTTCAGGGAAGAACAAAATGGGATAGACAATTACACTTTCAGTCCCTGATCTTCTATTTTTCATCACTTTACCCGTTTCGGGTTGTACTTGGACTTGAAGCAACCTTGTCTTCTTCTACATTTTCTGCACACCACTTGTACTACTGTAAATCAGCTATATAAGCTGAGAACTACATTGAATCAATTCAAGTTTTTAGGGTTTCAACACAAAAGCGTTGTTATGGTATCAGAGCCTGGTTCTCTTGAACCCTAGGCGCCGCCACAACAATGGCTGATGTGAACATGAGCACTGATGGAGCAAATGCAGCAGCCAACAACAATGCTGCTCACACCACCACACTCCAGGACCCGATGGCAGATCCATACTACCTACATGGATCTGAACAACCAGGGCAAGTCCTGGTGGCGGAGAAGCTCACCACTACCAACTACAACGACTGGAACAAAGCGATGTACAATGCATTGGGAGCCAATAACAAGATCGGGTTTATAAATGGGACTCTGGCTGAACCAGCAGCAGACAGCCCACAAGCCTGGTCTTGGAACAGGAACAACATCATGGTCTTGTCTTGGATCCAACAAGCAGTCGAGCCTGGGATTAGGAAGACAATCATGTCTTTCAAGACAGCTGCAGAAGCCTAGAGAAGCCTAAGAGCTAGATATGGACAAGGAGACATGGTGAGGATAGTAGAGCTGATAGAGGCCATAGCCACTATGAAGCAAGGTAACCAAACCCTAACTAAGTACTATGGTGAAATGATTGTTGTGAGGGATGAGCTTGACAACTACCAGCCTTTAGATCCTTGTGACTGTACCCCCACCAGCCACTCCACATGTAGGGCTATGAGACAGGTCATAGGTTACAGGGACACTGGCTATGTCATTCAGTTCCTCAGAGGACTTAATGAGAACTATAGTGCAGTTAGGTCACAGGTTCTGTTTCAGGACACCCTTCCCTCCATTGATAGGGTGTTCCAGAGAATGCTTCAGCATGAGAGGCAACAGTATGAGAGCCATCAAGGCAAAGCCCTTGCTGCTGAGAGCACTGCTTTTGCCTCTCACAGCAACATTCCAGCAAACAAAAGAACCAGACCCTACTGCACCTACTGCAAGGCACTGGGACATACTGAAGATGTTTGTTTCCACAAACATGGCTGGCCACCTGGGATGACTCCTAGGGGTGTGACTGCTTCTGGAAGACCAGTTGAGTGCACTCACTGCAAAAAACTTGGTCACACAGAAGACAAGTGCTACCAGAAGAATGGCTACCCTCCTGGAACTGGAAGAGGAAGAGGAAGACCTCAAGCCAATGCAGCCACCACCATGATTGGAGACAAAGGCCAGCAAGAATTCAAGCTGACCAAAGCTGAGTATGAGAAGTTTATGCAAATGATGAGTCAGAATGCTCAAACCTCCCCTGGACCAAGCTTCTCAGCTGCAGCCTTCACCACCACTCAACCAGAATCCCCAGGTAAATATGTTTTCAATGCTCAAAACAAGGGTCCATACAACCAGCTATGGATACTAGACACTGGGGCATCAGACCACATTGTCTGTTCCCTTGATCTCCTACAACACCACAAACAAATCAGTGGTGTTTACATCACTCTTCCCACTGGACAAAGAGTTGAAGCTAGTCACTCAGGAACTGTGAGATGTCTCCCAGACCTGGTGCTTGAGGAAGCTTTATATGTTCCTCAGTTTAACTTCAACTTAGTTTCTGTCAGTAAGTTGAGCAAGAAAAAATCACTTTGCTTAACTTTCTTTTCTGATGTGTGCTTGATTCAGGACATGCAGCTGAGGAGGATGACTGGTTCTGCTAAGCTGTCCCATGGCCTCTACCTATTAGACAACATAGATAGTTCTACTATACCTAAACACACTACTGCAACCAGTAGTGCACCTTTTGACCTTTGGCACCATAGATTAGGGCATGTTTCACACTCCAAAATACCACTTTTGAAACAACTATGTACATCCATAGAAACATACAGCTCTATACCCTGTGATGTATGCCATTTTGCTAGGCAGAAGAGACTGCCATTTCCTTCCAGTTCAACTGTAACTGAGAGTTCTTTTCAATTGATACATACTGATATTTGGGGGCCAAACCCTGTTCCTAGCTATGATGGCCATCGATATTTTTTGACCATTGTAGATGATTTCTCTAGGATGACATGGGTTCTTCTCTTACAAACAAAATCTGAAGCCAGACCTAAACTACAAGAGTTCTGTCATTACATTGAGAGGCAATTTGACACTCCTGTTAAAAGAATTAGGAGTGATCAAGGCAAAGAGTTCAGGATGATTGATTTTTTCCAAAACACTGGCATTTTCCATGAACAATCATGTGCAGAAACTCCTGAACAAAACAGTAAGGTAGAAAGAAAGCACCAGCACATACTTGCTGTTGCCAGAGCCCTAAAATTTCAGGCCAACCTTCCACCTGGTTTTTGGGCTGATTGTGTGAAACATGTTGTGCACCTAATCAATAGAGTTCCCACTCCTGTTCTAAACAACCTCACACCTTTTGAAAAGTTGCACAAAAAACCACCAGACCTCTCCCACCTCAGGGTGTTTGGTTGCTTGTGTTTTGCAAGCACCCTGACCAGCCACAGAACCAAGTTTGATTCCAGAGCCAGAAAGGGAATCTTTATTGGTTATACTTCTGGTATCAAGGGGTTCAGGATCTATGACCTCACCACCCATGAAACCTTCACTTCCAGAGATGTCCAATTCCATGAAAATCACTTCCCATTTCACCATGAACCCACTCAAACTGACCTATACACCTCTACCCTTACCCCTTCTTCCTTTGATGACCCTAGCCCCACTTACCAGCCTTCCCCAATCCCATCCCACACCCTCACTGACCTAAATACAATCCACTTTGACTCAGACAGTGATACAGAACCTGCACCACCAAACTCCTCTCCATCTCAACCATCTCCTCCCCCCTCACCTTCCCCACCAACACCCCCACCACCACCTATTCCTCCCACTAGGAAATCAACCAGAACTCCTAAACCACCATCCCACCTTCAGCTATACCATTGCAACCTGCTTCAGCAGATTCCTTCCACCAGTCATTCTATTCAACAGCACTGTCCAGGTATCACTTACCCACTCAGTAAAGTTATTCAATATGATCACTTGTCTCCTACTGACAGACACTTTGCCTTGAGCATATCTTCCTACAAAGAACCAGAATCCTACAAAGAAGCTATCTTATCTCCATTCTGGAATGATGCAATGCAAGATGAATTCACAGCTCTTGACAAGAACCAAACTTGGGACATAGTTGAGGCCCCCCCTGATGTCAAACTCATTGGCAACAAATGGATATACAAGTTCAAATTCCTATCTGATGGTACCTTAGAGAGAAGGAAGGCCAGACTGGTTGCTAAGGGTTACACACAACAGGAAGGCATTGACTACTAAGATACATTTGCCCCTGTTGTGAAAATGACTACAATCAGACTCTTCTTAGCTCTAGCATCTATCCACAACTGG